AATGTACTTGAAATAAATACCAGCTATACAGTCATAGCAATTGCAATGGATATGTATCACAACAAAGAATATATTTTTGCAACATTGTCCAATGGTATTAAAGTACGATGTGGACTTAGTTTAGAAATAAAGATCGTTGCATGGCTGGAAGAATATCCCGATGGCCAAGTTCCGTATATGAATTTCACCACATTGCAATGCAGAACTGTTCGCGGGTTCAAGGATATTTATATACGTTAAGAATGCTAATAGATAGTTTTTAAAAATTACAATGGGCTTACTTTGTACGCTTATATGATGGAATCTCCACTCCTGCAAAAATTTCACGTCGCTTATTAGTCGGCTCTTCCCGTTGTTTATCCTCGACATCCATAGTAGTCATCTCCAAGAACTGCTCTTGTAACTTTGTTATATCTCGTGCATCATGCAACATCTCATCCACTGGAATATAATCCAAGATTTGTTCCATTGCACCATTGGCATATGGAAAGTCGAAGCCATCTCTAATCCAGGCACTATGAATGGGTTCCAGATTTAACTGCAGTAGTGCCACCATCTTCTTGATGTTCATAAGTAAGAGACACAATCGCAATTGCAAATTATATGTTTCTATCTTGGTTACCAACACTGGTTTCCTATTGTTGTGCTTCTCAAAGGTTGCTCCAAGATCTCCAAATTCGGCTTCTATCTGAGAGCGGAAACTGCCGAAAATCTTATTGTAGTTAGTTTCATCTTGTGCAAGATCTTTCCCACGGCTTTTGCGAATTGGATAACAAAAGTTTTTCTTGCTCATGCTTGTTTCTTCTACTATTTTCTTAATGTATTGTGTGTACCCTCCATCCAATGCAATACAATCTAGCTCGTGGATGTGCTTATGTATCTTCATACCAACCAACATAGTACCATCGTTGTTATCCTTGCAAGGTAGCGATTTAGAGACTAGTATTGCCATGCCATTGCAATCGACACACACTTGCGTTCTTACACCAGATTTCTTCAGCTTGTAAGAGTACATGTCTGAGCTAGACTTTTCTTCACATGAAAGACGTGTATCATGACCATCCAAATGCAATGTTACATGTGGGAATAGTGGTGGATTCCTGAGTTTAGCAGACATCAAGCGTATAGGAAATGTGGAGAACATATTCGCAAGTGCATGGTTAATATGCTTCGAATGCACATTATAGTTAGTCTTGTAGAACTCTGTATGAATGGAGTGGAAACTACTTTTTGGTATGTGGGTTGACATTCCATCCATTGCCAAGCCTGCAACTAAGTGGTACAATATCAACAATCCTTTGTCGACTTCTCTGTATGGACCTGGATACTGCTTGAGAGACCAAATAACTACAAGAAAGTAGAATACAGGAATTGCACCTAATCTTCTTATAAGTAAGTCTTTAACAGTTTTCATATGTGCTACTAGCTTCAACGCAGTCCTATGATTATTAGATGGTTCTTGCGTAGGCCATTCTACATCCAAAAAAGTCCATTCATCCTCTAACAACCGTTGAAATAGGCGCTTTAAGTTTGCCATGACTGTAATTACAACCTGGTAAACTATTAGCAAAAATTCCTTTATATAACACACTTTTGGATTTTTTAAAACTATTAACGATAAACACGATAGGGGAACAAGCCCCTCAACCAGATGTCAAAGTATTTCATCATGGCGGTTTTGCGACAACTTTTTTGTAACCACCAATTTTCTCCCAACCACCAAAGTATACAAACGATATTTTATAGACATTTCCTAAGTCTACATAACTTTTATTTATACAACTTCTTTTTTCTGTCTTGTTATCATACAAAATGCGATAGAAATGTCACAATGTTCATACCCATTTGCATCACGAAATATGGGGTACGTTTTAAGAAACGTCTATTTTTAAAGACATAGTTGCTCTTTAAACAACACATTTTCTCTACCTTATTATCACACAAAATGCAATAGAAATGTCACAATGTTCATACCCATTTGCATCACGAAATATGTAATGTGTTTTAAGAAACGTCTATTTTAAACGACATAACTATTCTGTTAACAACTTCTTTTTTCTGTCTTGTTATCACACAAAATGCGATAGAAATGTCACAATGTTCATACCCATTTGCATCACGAAATATGTGATACGTTTTAAGAAACGTCCATTTTAAACGACATAATTACTCTGTTAACAACACATTTTCTCTACCTTATTATCACACAAAATGCGATAGAAATGTCACAATGTTCATACCCATTTGCATCACGAAATATGTGATAAGTTTTAAGAAACGTCTATTTTAAACGACATAATTACTCTGTTAACAACACATTTTTTCTATCTTATTATCACACAAAATGCGATAGAAATGTCACAATGTTTATACCCATTGGCATCACGAAATATGTGATACGTTTTAAGAAACGTCCATTTTAAACGACATAATTACTCTGTTAACAACACATTTTCTCTACCTTATTATCACACAAAATGCGATAGAAACGCCACGATGTTTATATCCATTTGCATCACGAAATATGTGATGTGTTTTAAGAAACGTCTATTTTTAACGACATAATTACTCTATTAACAATACATTTTTTCTATCTTGTTATCACACAAAATGCAATAGAAACGTTGTAATATAATAGCCATTTGCATTATAAAATATGTGATGTGTTTTAAGAAACGTCTATTTTAAACGATATAATTGTTATATCTACAACTACCCACAATGCATGGTCTAATTGCGATATCTCTGTTTTTACCATTGTCGTAATTACCTACAATCTGTATAACAATAAATGCTATAACAATTGTAAGTTAACCAAAGTGTAATAATATTAAACGTCGTGCAAATCGTGGGCTTACCTAAAGTATGTCAACATTAAACATTGTAATACTTACGAGTTTATCAAGAATGTATTAAAATTAAACATCACGATAATCACGAGGTCATCCAAAATGCGTTCATATCAAATATCATAACTATGGTAATAACTACAGTTTGTCAGCTGTCGAATCGAATGCCGAATGTCAAATGTCGAATGTCGAATATTGTTGAGAAAGTGTAGCAATAACGCCATTAAAAACGTATCAGCTACCCTTTCTTTCCAACAACCAATGTTTGTTAAAGCCACTATGCTACTTTTTAAAAAAATCGGGATCCAACTTTTTTTTTAAAACTACCACTACATCATCACCAGTATCACGAGTGCTATATTGGATATACACATAGGATATATCATGAAAAGGAGATATTAGTAACCATCGCTAATTATATAAACACGAAAACAAATGCTCTACTAGGAGGCCATCCATGTTCGGCTCCACCAACCATAGACTACAGTATAAAAATATCTGTCAACACCTATTAAAACAGTGTGTTCCTTGAGAGTACAACAAATCTCATCAGCTTTTTCCTTCCACCAGTCTCCATTTTCTACATTCACCACCACTACTTTGTAACATCATCTACTTTAGCTGAGAAAGCCTTGGACATGATCATCTCATATTGGAAAGGAAATTACTATCTGTAATATCCAGGATCCAATATGAGATGATCATGTCCAAGGCTTTCTCAGCTAAAGTAGATGATGTTACAAAGTAGTGGTGGTGAATGTAGAAAATGGAGACTGGTGGAAGGAAAAAGCTGATGAGATTTGTTGTACTCTCAAGGAACACACTGTTTTAATAGGTGTTGACAGATATTTTTATACTGTAGTCTATGGTTGGTGGAGCCGAACATGGATGGCCTCCTTAGTACAGCAAAAAAAAGGAAGAGGTGGGGGGAAGAACGCATTATTAAATGAGTGTTGAAATATGAGTGACACGACGCGTCGGCCGCCGACATTTACCACATGCACGCCACTTACCGACCAAAGCTCAAGCAAATAAAAGGCTAGCGCGCCAACTGGACACACATCTACTTCTTTGTTCCGAACTGCAACTCCATACTGAATCTTGCCGTCCTTGTTCGTCTTGCCTTGCCTCATCATCAGCACAACTCCAAGCACGAATTGGCCTTCTCTGCAGCTGGCATCGTTCGTATTTTTGTTGCGGTTGGGCTCGACGTCGTGGGCGAAAAGATCCGGGAGTCGGATCTGGCGTGTGACCTCGCTGCGGAACATCATAAAAAAGCAAAGACTTACATCCGCACGGTCGCGTAACCCTTTCAAGCGGCGCTTTCTCAAGCTGGCTGCGCCCTCCACATTGCGCATCCAGAATCGCTTCATTAGCTGCCGAACAATCGAAGTTGGGTTCTGGGTGAAGTCGATAGAGCCAAAGTCGGTATCTGTCGACCTCTTCCTGGCGGACATCCTCACGCGGTAAACGTCGATCAGAGGTTGAAGGTACGTCTTCGGGGCCGGAACTGTGCCATAATCCATCGCTAAATTGTTCCTGTCTTCACACTGATGCTTATAGAGGTCGCCAATGGCAGCGAGGTGCAAGAGAATGGTTGCCGTCGAGTACCACCGCTCTTCACTGTTATCGTTGTTGCTGTTGTGGATGTCAACGTCTCGACTGGCGTCCCCCTCGCAGTCGTCATCGCTTTTGTCCTCCACATCGCCTCCATCGACATCATCATCAGAACACGGGTCATCCATATTTGCCCGCCGTTCGCCGGACTTGTCCTTGCTGTTGTTGCCCTTCCTGTCTCTTGGCAACGGTTTGATCCGTATAATACCTATAGCATTTATATTTTCGTTAGTTCTTATAATTTCAAACACCACCATAGCGTTTCGTCGTCGTCGTCGTATCGTATGACCGCTCACATTAGTTCCATTCTTCATATTCATACCGTTTTGAGGATCTTCCGTCTCGCAGGTCAGGCAAGCAAAGTAACGGGTTACTTTGCCTTTCGTGACGTTGTAATCATCCTTATATCCAGAAACGTCGCACCATTCCTATACCAATGGATGGAGTGATTGAGTTAGTTAGTGCGTCGAGTCGGGGGCCATAGTTTATCTATGCTTGTGCAAAAATGGGGGTACATTTTACAATTTGCCATACCATGAACTTCTCCTGGTACCGATCATACTGGTCCCGCGTCGACTGGGCTTGCAAGGACTTGCGAGCTTCGGCCACAAGCTGGGAGCTTGCTAGCTCCTTCTGCTTATTACAGAGGTGATTTTGCTGTTCAACCCTATTGCGTTCGCGGTAGGTTTCCAGCTTAGATTTTGCTCTTGCCGGCTGGCTGCCTTGCATGCTCGTCTGCTGCCGTTTGTTTCGTGCTATGGCTTTGCCTTTAACAGAAAAGCTGCACGACTTGTTTAACGCGAAACAATAAAACAATAGAACGAAATAGTAAGTATGGTGGTATGGTGGATGCCAATCAGGTACAGGACATATCGCCCCAATTGTGCAAAGACCTTTTTAGCTTACCCGTGTCATTAATTAGTCGGGTATTGGGGGGGGGGGGGGGGGGGTTGTGTGTAATGTGTATTGGGGTGTGGGCTTGTTTGAATCAGGCTAATGTGGCGATGTGAAGTGAGAAAGAGGGAAGATTGGGGTGTGGGCTTGTCTGAATGAGGCTAATGTGGCGATGTGGAGTGGAGAAAGAGGGAAGAATGGAGTGACATGCATGCGTTCCATGTGGATGATTCCGCCAGAAAAAAAAAATTATGCAAGGCTGCCTATCGGTTTAAAACCGTGCCTATGCCGACGGGGATAAACCCATATGTGTCACGTGACTTTTATAAACCGACCTTTTGTGGATATCCCCGCAATAAACCCTGATTAAGTTGCTGTTCACAACTAAAATTTTGTTCCGCGCCTGTGTACACTCCGCTCTCCACTGAATTTTGTTGGATTAAATTTAGAAAGGCACAATAACACATATATGGTCCTGGCCCGACGGATAATACATTCTTAACCATTTTTAAACCCCGTCTTTAACGCCAAGCAGTCTTAATAAGCAAGATCTACGTCATACGAGGAACACTACATTATTAACCACTTAGATGCCTTTTTAAAACTCTTTTGTTACTAAGCGCCAAGCAGTGCTAATAAGCAAGCGCTATTAATATCCAATGTGGCAGTGCCCCATGAATTAGTATAAATAAAGGACTCCACTTCCCTCTTGCTTAATCTTTATCTAGTAACCAACCAACAATTATCCATATCTATACAACCATCCTGTAACAGGATCATAGGTTCTACTGCGCCTCATTAGTCAGCACCTATTAGTAAGCACCTATTAGTCAGCACCTATTAGTCATCATCCATTAGTCAGCACCCATTAGTCAGCACCCCATTAGTCAGCACCCCATTAGTCAGCACTTCCATTAGTCAGCGCCCATTAGTCAGCAACATCCACTCTGTATATATAGCCCCAATCCTCGTAATAACACCATCATCAATTCTTGCACCTTTCAACCTTGCTCTCCTGTTCCCTCTTGTCTCTTTCTTGTCCTTGTCCCTGTTTACTCTTGTCTCTTCCTTGTCCTTGTCCTTGTCCCCTGGCCTTTATCTCTGTTCCTATTACACATCCATACCTATACAACCATCTTTTATTGCAATTCTTTGTATCACAGTGTATTAAGCAGCTGCAATCTACCACACATAAACTGAAAACTCATTCACGCCTACCATACCACGAGTAAAGTTTACATCTTCCATATCCGAAAACATGAAGTGCGTTCAGCTTACGATCGAGCTCATCACCAAGGCCTTCGAGGCATTTTGCTATAAGAAGGGAGTGGAATTTAACAAGAAAGATGCAAATAAGATCTTTAAGGCGCTTGATGAGGATGAAGAAGTAGAGCGATACTACTTTTGTGGAGCAAAATGCGCCAAGTCCAAGCGCGATTGCATGAGAGAAGTCGACGAAGGCATGCATTGTTATGTCCACGATCCTGCGCGCAAGTGTCAAGGCACAACCGTTAAAGGCGCCCAATGTCGTAGTGTAGCCAAAGCTGGTGAAACACACTGCAAACATCATCGAGATCAAGATAGAGGTCACATGAAAAGTAGTAACAATAAGGCACCTGTCGACAAGCATACCGAGCGTTCCAAGAATTTAAAGAAGATACATACTTCTAAGTTTGTATCTTCCGATGACGATATGACTTCCGAGGATGAAAAACCAAAGAAGCGAAAGAGAAACAAGCAGGAGTCATCGGATGAAGAGCCGTCCAATGATGATGATGAAGATATAATTGCCGTCTCCTTTCCGTTGAGTCCAAAGGTAGTTGACATAACGTCCAAGAAAAATGTACCACTCGCTAATACATGTATATGGACGCGTTATGCAACTAATCCAGCTTTCCTGTATGCAAAAAGCTTTACTGTAAATGGCAAGTACATTATTAGGCTAAAGGAAAAGAATCTCTACATTGCATTGTGTCCACCTGAGCTCATGGGCAAGAATCTCCCTGCGCCAGAAATATCTGAGAAAGAGGCACGCATATTGGACAAGATGGGACTCCAAGAGGCAACTCCTGCAGATGTAGAAAAAATAGAAGAGTCTTCTGCTGATGAGAATTCTGACGATGATACAGATGATGGTGATACGTCTGATGATGCTGGCTCTGTCGATGATACAGATGATGGTGATACGTCTGATGATGCTGGCTCTGACGATGATTCCTCTGATGATAAAGACTCTGATGATGGCAAGTCCAATAACAGACCTGATGTGGAATCTGGAGATGATACCTCTAAGGATAACCCTGATGAAAAACTATCTCATAAAAAGCCATCTAAGGATGATGAGAAGAAGACTTCTCGAAAGAAAAGGCATTCAGAGATGCCCAAAAATGCAGAGCCATCTTCTAATGTAGATGATTCTAAGGATGAAAAAGGTGAACATACATTTGCACTGTCCACAATGGTGCGTAACATTAGATCAGAGAAAGACATATTATTTGCAAAGGACAGAGGATGGATGGTTCATCCTAATAACGACATGCTTGAGTATGCAATTAGGGTTACGATGAATGGCAATTACATTGTCAGGCTATCTGGAAAGAATACATACGTTGGCCTATTTACGCTTGATCATCTGCGCGGTGTTGGTGATGTTCCAGAGATGGATATCTTGGAACGCTCCATGCTTAGCAAGATGAGACTTCAACCAATGTCTGATGAAGAGAGAAAGATGCTTTTCAACGACGATGTTGAAGTAGAAGAGGGACTTCCAGTGGAAGGACCGACAGATATATCCAAGATGAAATGGAAAAGGTTTCACAAGCAGCAATTGGAGTATTCCAAGAATGTACTTGTAAATGGAAAGCACATTCTCAAGATCCGCAAGCAAAATGTTGTAGTTGGCTTGGTGACTGATGACCACATTTTTGCAGAGAATGTAGACCATGATAATCTTAACCAAAAGGAAAAAGAAAAGACCTTTGCCATGGGCATTAAGCTACAAATGTCTGAGGATAGGTTGACAGAGAAAGATGAACCGGTAGAAAAAATAGATGATAAGATGCAAGAGTTGAATGTTAAGGAAACTCTAGAAGATGAACTTGTAGAAAAAGTAGATGATGAGGTGCAAGAGTCGGATGTTAAGAAAACACTAGAAGATGGTGGACATATGGAAAGCGGCCTCTCCATGTGCAAAGGATATAATAAGGCATATACAAAATATCCAAAGCCCAAGGATTACAGTGTTGACTTCCATAGCTGATGTATCTCTTTAAAGTCGGCAATAGAACATGAAATAAAATAGCAATAGATAGCGGCCTCTCCATGTGCAAAGGAGATAACAAGGCATATACAAAATATCCAAAGCCCAAGGAATACAGTGTTGACTTCCATAGCTGATGTATCTCTTTAAAGTCGGCAATAGAACATGAGATAAAATAGCAATAGATAGCACATGTTTTTTTAAAATGTAATCTCTCCCCTGTATTTCACGACAAAAATACAGCTGAGGATACAAGTGCTTTAGATGATCACATACAAGAAGTACTACCCTTAATCTTGCAGTGAGGGTTACAGTTTAATAGTAGATGGACACATTCAAGAGATTGGTGTGCGAAAAATAAGAAGACTTTGTTGTTTGGAGAATAGGTTGGTGTTTAGTAGGATAGTTATGCAAGGAATGTTACAGTGGTTGTTTTACATGGTGGATATTATACATACACTCTCCTCTAATGGTCGCTGTAGATATTGTCAAGGTCTGCAGAGATGTAACATATACTATATTACAATTTGGACTTGAAAGGCCTCCATAGCACATGTTTTTTTAAAATGTAATCTCTCACCTGTATTTCACGACAAAATACAGCTGAGGGTACAGGTGCTTTAGATGATCACATACAAGAAGTACTACCCTTAATCTCGCAGTGAGGGGTACAGTTTAATAGTAGATGGACACATTCAAGAGATTGGTGTGCGAAAAATAAGAAGACTTTGTTGTTTGGAGAATAGGTTGGTGTTTAGTAGGATAGTTATGCAAGGGATGTTACAGTGGTTGTTTTACATGGTGGATATTATACATACACTCTCCTCTAATGGTCGCTGTAGATATTGTCAAGATCTGCAGAGATGTAACATATACCATATTACAATTTGGACTTGAAAGGCCTCCAAAGTGAAAATGTGAATGCCTCAAGTGTTTACATTACAAAAGACCATCATGATTTTCTTAAGGCAATGGGAGAAGTATATAGCAAAATAACAGCTATCGAAGAAGAACTCCGTGAGGAATACGTTTCGGCAGGTGGTAGTGCAGAAGAATAAGAACTAATTTCTCACCTAGATTTGTTGGAGAAAGAATATTCCAACTACGAAACATGGCACAAGGATAAGTTTGGTTCCCGCGAACCACATTGCGATACGTTATATACGTTCGCAAAAGAAGGATCTAGAAACAGAAGAACCATAGTGCAAAGTGTATTAGACAGTATTTCAGCCAAAGAGAACAGTACGATGGAAGAAAAGAAGCCTCTTCAAGTAACATTTGAGACCGCAGAAGAGTAGATCAAGAATTTTAAAAGCTGTAAATGTACTACTTGCACAGAGAAACCTTTTATATACGGAATACACATGTAATAATATCCTTGTCCCTCTCAATGAGATTCACCAGATATATCACCCATCTTTTTAAAAACTTCCACCACCGACACTACCGACATCATCGACAACCACCACCGACAACACCGACAACACCGACACCATCGACACCCTTAACAACCATCCTCAACAACCACCATCGACAAAAACACGACAAGCAACAACAAACCGACAACCCGACAACAAAACGACCAGCAACAACAACCCGACAACAACTCGACAACAACCAACAAGGAGGCCTTTCACGTCCAAATTATCATATGGTGTTTGTTACACCTCTGTAGATCTCGACGATATCCATAGCGACTATGAGATGAGAATGTATATATGATACCAAGCATGTAAGACAACCATTGTAACATTTTTTGTTTAACTATCCTACTAACCACCATGATATTCTTCAAACAACAAAGTCTTCTTATTTTTTGCACACCAATCTCTTGAATGTCTCCATCTACTATTAAACTGTACCCATCACTGCGAGATTAAGGGGAGTAGTTCTTGTATGTGATCATCTAAAGCACCTATACTCTCAACTGTATCTTTGTCGTGAAATACAAGGAAGAGATTACATTTTAAAAAATCTTGTGCTGTCTATTGCTATTTTATTCCGTGTTCTGTTGCCCACTATAAAGAGATATGTCAGCTATGGAAGTCAACACTCCGTTCCTTGGGCTTTGGATATTTTTTATATGCCTTTTTATATCCTCTGCACATGAAGGGGCCGCCTGGGAGAGATACCCCTGGGAGTCGCCGGCAGAGTCGACTGATACTTCTATAGTAAGTAGCCTAGACCTTCTGGGAGAAATGTGCTACAGTGCTCCAATCAATTGATCAATAAAAACGTGATTTCAACGTTTCTTTTGAAATGCTCATTCATCAATGTTCTAAGCAACCCTGTAATAGGAACAGAGATAAAGGCCAGGGGACAAGGACAAGGACAAGGAAGAGACAAGAGTGAACAGGGACAAGGACAAGAAAGAGACAAGAGGGAACAGGAGAGCAAGGTTGAAAGGTGCAAGAATTGATGATGGTGTTATTACGAGGATTGGGGCTATATATACAGAGTGGATGTTGCTGACTAATGGGTGCTGACTAATGGAAGTGCTGACTAATGGGGTGCTGACTAATGGGTGCTGACTAATGGATGATGACTAGTGGATGATGACTAATAGGTGCTGACTAATAGGGAGGCCATCCATGTTCGGCTCCACCAACCATAGACTACAGTATAAAAATATCTGTCAACACCTATTAAAACAGTGTGTTCCTTGAGAGTACAACAAATCTCATCAGCTTTTTCCTTCCACCAGTCTCCATTTTCTACATTCACCACCACTACTTTGTAACATCATCTACTTTAGCTGAGAAAGCCTTGGACATGATCATCTCATATTGGAAAGGAAATTACTATCTGTAATATCAAGGATCCAATATGAGATGATCATGTCCAAGGCTTTCTCAGCTAAAGTAGATGATGTTACAAAGTAGTGGTGGTGAATGTAGAAAATGGAGACTGGTGGAAGGAAAAAGCTGATGAGATTTGTTGTACTCTCAAGGAACACACTGTTTTAATAGGTGTTGACAGATATTTTTATACTGTAGTCTATGGTTGGTGGAGCCGAACATGGATGGCCTCCTAGGTGCTTACTAATAGGTGCTGACTAATGAGGCGCAGTAGAACCTATGATCCTGTTACAAACCCCCAGATTCCTGTCATTCATTCTCTTCATTCGTAACCTCATTCATCATCACTTCTCTTTTTTTGCATGAACCGACATCGGATCATCGCTGGAATTGAAATGCTTGATCTTGGTTGATCAATTAATTGGGTCGCATGTAGTGGCGAATGATTTCCATGTAAAATTTTACATGGGTTTAGCACAGAACAAACTGTTTTTTTGAATACTACTATGTCAATGCACTTTCTTCAGGCAAACTGAAAGCAGTTCCATACAAAGTATATGGAATGTGATCTAGAAAATAGGTTATGCACAAAGCGTTTATATCATTTACAGAAGGTATCGTTGTATTTTGTTTTGTTACATGGATCTAGCACGATTTCACATTTTGTCATGATAATTGCAATCTATTGAGAATAGCTGGCTTCGTACATCAAAGAACTTTAGATCGCACTTAATGTGCTCTATATGGAACTGCTTTCAGTTTGCCTGAAGAAAGTGCATTGACATAGTAGCATTCAAAAAACAGTTTGTTCTGTGCTAAACCCATGTAAAATTTTACATGGAAATCATTCGCCACTATATGCGATCCAATTAATTGATCAACCAAGATCAAGCATTTCAATTCCAGCGATGATCCGATGTCGGTCCATGCAAAAAGAAGCAAGTTGTAATGAATGAGGCTACGAATCGAGAGAATGAATGACAGGAATCTGGGGCCGGTCAGAACATTGATGAATGAGCATTTCAAAAAAAAGTACAAATCGCAAAAAGATGAATCACTTTTTTGGAGCACTTTATCTTAGGTGCCATTAGGCGAATATGCGACAGTGGCTATCCTGACAAAATTGTTTTGAATAAAATTAAGTTGGCAATTTTGCTCTGACTAGTCATGGCCAAATTGAGTTGATTAGGAGGGCTTTTTTATGTGAGAATAACTGTAAATGGACCCCAGCTGTCTTGAATAGAAGAGTCCCAATCTCGCGAATCTAAATCTACAAGAGCGTGTTCCTTCTCGAACATTCGATACCAGGTCAAGTTGATGGCAGCTTGACATACTAATCATGACCGACATAATGTGCAGACCTCAGTGGGGAAGCCCGCACCTCACCGCACACTCTTCCATGACCACGGCAAACGAGGTCGGGATGTTATCCCGAAACCTGGCGATCCGCTTCGCGTCCAGCACCTCCAGGTCGCTCCCCATCGCCGTGATGAGCATCTCGTCGGCCATGTTGGAGAAGAAGTTGCGCGCGATCTGTGTGCGCCCGGGGTCCGAGCTGTCAAACGCGGCCGCGAACAGCGCGGGCTCGCACGTCGGATTGAACTGGAAGTGCGTCTCACCCTGCGGGAAGAGCATGCCCGTGTAATTGGAAAGCGTAACGTTGACCTGCGGGACAGGCCCGTTGACTGGCGCCGGCTGGCCGACGACGTGGCCGCTGCCGCCGTCATTGAGCTCGAGGACCAGCCCGGCGACGAGCTTGCCCTGGATGACAGTGAGGAACTCGTTGGCGCGCGGGTGCGAGTGCGGCACGTTGAGCCCGCACGGGTTAACGAAGCCGACGGCCATGGCGACCTCGGTACCGATGAGGGCGGGAAAGTTGTTGACGGTCGAGAGCGCGATGGTGCCGCCCGTGCCGTCGGTGACGGTGTTGTTGATGAAAGTGAAGGTGATATTGGTGGCGTCCGGCGGTTCGGTGAAGAGGATCGCCTGGCGGTCATTGTAGCTCGCGGCCCCGGTCAAGGCCGCCCTGAGGGCGGGGGAGGCGTTGGTGTTGCTGTTGAAGCCGCTGGGGGAGGGGTCGGACTGGTGGCGGGCGAGGGGCGAGGCGGCGGCGACGGCAATGAGGGTGACTACGTGAGCCACGGAGAGAAAGTTGACCATAATGGTGGTTGGTTGCTTGTTAAAAGTGTCGAAAGTGGTGAGGAGGTATGAGATGTGCTGATGTTGGTGAGATAATGTGGGAAGAGATGAATCTTAAGAAGATGAGCATGCTCTTATATACCTCGCGAATGGTAACCTGGCAGGAGTACAAGTACATTCTTCACAAAATACATAACTACTCCTTGTGGGAGCATGTGTCAAGAAAGCAGACCAAGCAATAGAATGAAGTAGATAAAGAGAACCTTGATCAAGGACTAAGAAATGAGTATAAGGAATAGGTTAAAGAGTATGTTGTATTGGCGATACCAAGTAAAGAGCTATAGATTTGCTATCTAAGGCCCTTTTATACTCGTTAGGGCGAAGTCACAAGAGCAAGCTCTTGTCTCGTGACAGCATGGTTGATCCGCATGCACTCGACAGCCCGACCATAGTCTTTCCTCCCCGCGCCAATCGACCAGCGATGCATATATATCGAGCTCAAACCCTGACTATCGAATTACGGCCATACACAGCTGAAAGCACCGCATTCCGTCCGATCTGCGTAGTTAACCAGCGGATAGCGCCTGTTGCATCTCAGTGTCTGTCCACTCACTCCTTATTCTCTATTAAGGGTAGTAGTGTTATATATATTCTCATAGGGCTCAATAAAGACCCCAGCTTCTTTCTCACCATCTTCCTCTCCCCAGCTGTTCATATTACAGCGCCAATTTCCATCCAATCAGAAACGTTAGTCAGTACTATGGTGGGGGACCGCATAGGAATACTCCGTGCTGTAATTTTTCTTTCTTTTTGGTCGTGCTGTTGGCTTAAGGAGCGGATTCCACTGGCTCGCTCTGCCCATGCCTCGCATCCCAACCACTCGGCAAAACCGGGGGAAAAAAATTAACCACTTGGCCACGCCACTCTACTATAGAGAACACTTGAAGACAAGATAACCAAAACACCGTTAGGTCATCTCGTGCAATGGGTTGATCGTTATCATGGACACATGCCATCGAGACTCGCGCTGCTTGGGCGTGCAGGTGAGGGGGATCTTAGTCTTTCGCAACTTTTGTCCAAGGGTCAGTTTTTCGTTTGCTAGGCAAGCGGCGACTCTGATAATTCCAACATTATATATGTGATAATTTTCCAACTTCCCTGCTCGGATCCTCAACTACGAGTCCACAACTGCAATCAAAACTTGTCCTTGCAAATGGAACTCTCATCATTTAACCCATGAAGCTTCTAGCCAGTGTCTCCATCCATTCCCTTGTGTCTCGCCGTTCTCCCTCCCACCTGTCGATGCTCTCCCTCATCCCGCGGCTTTCGCAAAGCCCTTGCACTGAACTAATGCACTCGGCTGCTTTCCACCTCACAAACTGCGCACTGTAATAAAAAGTGCGCGCTGGTGAAACACTGCATTCTACAGCCCTCCACAGCCCACCACAGCTCTTTACTGCACTCCACTGCCCTCCACTGCCCTCCACTGCTCTTCCACGACCCTCTCTTGTGTGCCCTTAAGCCCCTCTCCTGTGTGCCCTTAAGCCCCTCTCCTGTGTGCCCTTAAGCCCCCTCTCTTGTGTGCCCTTAAGCCCCCTCTCTTGTGTGCGCCCCTCCACTGCCCTCCACTGCCCTCCACTGCTCTCCCATGACCCTCTCTTGTGTGCCCCTAAGCCCCCTCTCTTGTGTGCGCCCCTCTACTGCCCTCCACTGCTCTCCACTGCTCTCCCACGACCCTCTCTTGTGTGTGCCCCTTTACTGCCCTCCACTTCACTCCCATGATCCTCTCTTGTGTTCTCCTGCCCCCTTCCTCCAGTGCTCTCCCACGATCCCCTTTTATGTACCCTTGACCTCCCTCTCTTGTGTGCCCCTCCACTGCCCTGCCCTGCCCTTCCACGACCCCCCGAGCCCCCGTACTCACGCCTGTACTAACACTGAACTCACATAACACGAACGCCCGTTCTAACTGTCGTCCTCTCTCTCCTCCAGCCTGTCGCTGCCCACCCTCCAGCCTGCCGCTGTCGACCCTTCGACTTGTCGCTGATTCCCCTCATTTACTGTCCTAACAACTTTCCTAACAACTGTCCTAACAACTGTACTTACGCTGAATTAACACTGTTCTAATGCTTGTCTAACATTATCCTGCTGTCGGTCTCTCCCTCCAGCCCATCGCTGTCCCTTCTCCCTCACACCGTTCTCACGCCTATACTAACGCTGAACTAACAAATATTGTTAGAACACAGTTGTTTGTTCAAGTTAAGGATGAGGAAGATAGGCAGCAATAGGCAAGAGGGACTCTATTGTGTACGTGCACAACATGTGTGAGATGTTTAGTATCTACTAGTCGCAGTAGGTGCATGTTTACTCACGTGCTAAGAGGGTTACTTAAGATAGACTACATTAAATCCAAGCACACCCTCACCGTTCCTGGTGACAACAAACTTGTTGTGCTCTATCTTCGCGGAGTGACCGGGACCATACAGATCATTTAGGTAACGCTCAATCTGATTCGTTCCATTGATATCCCTGGCGGTGAAAGCGATACTGAGGTCCGCCGATTCCTTATTGTGTTTTCCAAAGTCGCTGACGGATACTTGAATGAACACTGGTCCAAGCATAAAGTCAAATCGAGGGTGATTGCAGTAGCCGCGGGTCAGAACCTTTTCGTGGCCGGATCCAAGGAAGGTCATACCAGCTCGGAGGGGCTCATAATGGGAAAAATCCAGTAAAATGGTACTCGGGTGCCGGCCGTTGAGATCTGTTGTCTTGAGCTCGATTGGTTTGGCGGTGCATATGAGCTGATGATACAGAGCCTCCTCAAATTCGTCCCCATTGAGGCTGCCGTCACAAATTCACGTCTTGATAGCGTCAGGTAGCGGCATGTTCTTGAACAGCTCTAGAAGCCCTCTGGGCGTGACGACATAAATGTGGTGTTGTGTTCCGATCCGACCGACGTCCTTGCCCCGATAAATGAGTCCTAGATCCAGGAAGTCCCATTCGAAATCGATTGTGCTAGTGCTGCCGAGGAATGTTTGCAGGAGGGCCTTGTAGAATCGCTCTTTGCTATAAGCGTCAAGGGTCTTGTAGTACACCGTAACGATATCTAGGAAATCCTTGGTCCGGTCTTTCGTCCATTTGTGAAGGTCGTCTAGGGAGATCGGTCCCAGGAGATCCTCGACGGTGGCTGACAGATACACAAGCTCTCGCGGCACACAGTTTGTGATTGCTGTGACCTCATCTCTGATGGCTGGTGCTGCCAGGCGACGGTGCGTGTCCAGTAGCCTGGAGAATACATGCCTTGATAGCGGGCCGACAAAAACCACCGATGTGAATCTATAGCTCTTCTCCAGGATCTCCATCTCGTACTTGGCGTGCGCGGTGCCTGTGAAAACCACCCGAGACCCTTTGGCGTCCTCACCCGCCAGTTGTATAACGAAATAGGAACCAGCGACCTGAACTTGTCCAGAATGTAAGGCTCTTTTCTGAACAACTTCCCATGCTCGTCAACAAGCAACAGCGTCTTCCGATCCCGCGACTTGAGTAGCGTCCCGAAGATTACTGACATAGCATTCCTTGATATGTTGCGTGTGCCGTCGTAGTCGTTTAAAAGCATCGCCAACTCGGCGCCGGTCAAAACACCTTTGTTGAGAGCCAGGAATCGCTTGACCACCTGCAATGCTGACTCGTTCTCGTCGTCCCTGTCCAACTCTCCGGCATCTGACATGTTGAGGACAAGCCATCCTTCAGCATACGCCCTTGCTGCGAGGAAATAGGAGAGATACGACTTGCCAACACCCATCGCACCGGACAGGATTCGTCTGTATGTACGCTCTTGGTCCCGATGCATTTCATCCCAAAGTTCCAGCATTTGCTCGGTGACGAAAAGTTTGTGACCTTGGCCGTAAAGTCCAAAGTCCTTGGGGATTTGGCCCATACTCGGTACAATGATTGCGTCGCCAGCTCGAAGGTCGTCATTGAGGTGATCGAAGGCTGCTCGCGGTTCGGGTTCGAATTCGGTGTTCGCGAGAATGCAAATCCATGAAGGAGGTAGATCAACAACCTTTCCATCAGAAGCCGTATATCGTCTCCCTTCGGTAATACGGATATTTTTGTTGGCCGGCAAATCCAGTTCTATATTGTAAATTTGTAATAAAAAAAAGAGTTAGTCATATTGCGAAATCATGAGGAATCGTTTAGACGACACACTTTCAAGAGGAATCCTTACCATCAGCCGTTGGTCTCTTTTGGGAAATGTAATCGCTGACAGGAGATTGAGCTGAACAAAAAAAGCAAAGAGCATGGCGCGATTTGTTTACATTAGTCGATATGTTAAATCAAGCTCATGCGCAAGGTATGAGTAAGAACAAAGCGCGTTTGATTACCTGGCGGGGGGCGCTGGACAATGATGTGGATCGTTTTCTTGGGTGGTGCTTGTGGAAAGACATCGGAAACATCGTCGGTTGGGTCCAGCTCTGTTGACGACTCAACTTCATTCCGGACAATCGGGTTGTGTTTGTTGGCTGCAACAACAGGGATTGAGACGCGCCAAAGGGTGAGCTTGTCTGGATCGACACCGCGAAACTCATTGGGCTTCTTAGTCCTAATGACCTCCTTGAGGTTGCCGATGGTCTTGGTTGACTCGATCTCGACAGGGAACGCATTGGTGGTGGCCTCTCCGTCGACAAGACAGAACAGGTTCAGAAGGTTGTTGGACATGGTGTTGTGAAGAGTGAAAGGAAAGTAAGTGGAAGGGGAAAGGTGAGGGTTGTAAACGGAGTGAGGGTTGTGGAGAAGGTGCTGGGTGTAGTGAGGGCGAGGGGTGAATGGAAAAAAAAAAAAAAAAAAAAAAAAGAGAAGGCGTGGGGTGGAAAGGAAAAGTAAGAAGGGATGAAAAACTATGGCGATAGGTGTGGAAATAACAATAAGGGCGGTGAGAAACAAACTGACAGTAAAGTCGAACAGAGGAAAAAGGTGGGGAAGAGACGATAAAAACGCACGGGGAAGGTGACCCAGCAACGAGATGAGGGAAGAGTGAGGAAAGGAATCGAGCGATGGTAAAGGCGGTGAAGAAAGCGCGTGGTGGAAAGGTAAGGGCGTTGGAAGTGCGGGAATGGTGGCAGAAAGGAAGAAAGGCAACAAATGGTGACTTAGGGAGCAGGGCGCGAGAATTACAGTCGAAAGTGGTTTTTATGATCATTTTGATAGTGAAATTGATCAGAAAAAGTAATTGGAACATTTGAATTGACCTCCACAAAAACACTACTGTAAAGCGGCGAAAGTATATAGCGCACGTGACGGTCACGCAGTCACACCCCATCTTTGGAGAAAAACGAATAGAGAACAATTCCAGCATGCATACGTTCATTAACCCACTCCTCAACGTCATGTCAACAAACAACTCCAACAAAAGACCCCAGTACTTTGCGGAGAAGGCGAAGGTGCGAGTTAAGAAACATAAACCTGTTCCTACTATGCTGGTATCCAAGAAGGAAAAAACATACACAAAAAAACAGCTTGATGAAATACAGACTATTCGCCATCTCCGGTACCTTGACCTTTTGACAAGTGCCAGGAGTAAATGATATGAGCGCTCTCCATACGTTTCCTACCGCCAGCGAGTATGAGGTCCCGATGACAAGAGTCTCCCACACCCTGGAAACCCAAGTCGAACTGTTGGACATTTATCACTATCTCGACAATCGGAAGGAGAACCTCCTGTTCAAGTTTTCACAGCATTCCTTTGGACCGGCGATAGGAGTCGACCTTAAACAGCCTGCCCTTCATGCGATGCTCAAGCGGGAACTAAAGATACGCACTGCAGCGAAGTCGTCCCATCCTGGCGCTCATTACATCGTCAGCCGCAAGCACCTGCTGGTCGAGCAGGTCCTCCTTCACTGGTTACAAGATCGACGACAGTCGAACGTTCCTGTGCATGGAAAAATGCTGAAGGAGGCTGGACGTACCGCATGTATGGTTCTTTGCGACCTGGAGGATGAATCGGGAGGTACGGTTTCCGAGGCACCTCTATCATTTTCGGCCTACTGGTTTGACTCGCTCAAGAAACGGAATGCTTTGTCGTATTATCAGCTTCATGGGGAGGCTGGATCAGTGGATTTGGATGCGATCGAACCCCAGCTCGTCAAGATCCGCCAGCTTTGCGCTCAGTACACTCCCGACAACATTTTCAACTGCGACGAGACCGGAATGTACCTGAAGGAGTTGGACACCAAGTCTTACACCACACCGCTTTCTAGGTCTGGTGCCAAAGCTTTCAGGGAGTGCAGAGTGTCCATTTTGTTTTGTATTAACGCCTCAGGCACATCCCTCACTAAGGCCAAGACAATGCGTGCATTGAAACCTTTGATTTTCGGTAATACTTAACAAAGTCGATCTGTTTTGTTTTCTATTTTCTGCTCGATATGCTAACCTTACGGCTGCTTGACTTTCCTTAGCTGAACACTTCACAAGTGCTATTAGCAACGAGGCAACCGCGGAGATGGTCGTAGAAAGAACGAGCTCAGGATGGATGACCTGCGAAGTCTTTGTACGGTGGCTACAACTGTTGGATGACGAGCTTTCACAACCGACTCTTCTTCTTCTGGATTCTGCCGGATCACACAACATCATCGATATGCGCGATGCTAAACAAGGGGTTCAGTGGAAACATCTTCGCATACAGCGGCTTCCTGCACACTCAACATCTGTTACTCAACCTCTAGACGCCGGGGTCATCAGTGCATTCAAAAGGGCCTTCTTGGATATGCTTGGCTTCGAGACATATTACGCTCGAACCTTCGATAGAACGAGAAGTATCTCTAATGGGCGCGCATGGACATTGATTCCGCACGCGTGGAGTCAAACCAAGCTCTCCACGCTACGTAACTGCTTCGCCAAAACCCCCGTCCTTCCAACAGCAATGCGCGAGGAACTACAACGACGACAGGCAACCAGAGGCGAACAGCCGGAAAGGCTCCAGAGCACTCATTACGAACAATATGCAGAGAGGGAGCGGGCATATTTCGAACATCTCATCGCTGAGGTTCGGCAGGGCAACGTCTTATCTTTCAGGACGGTGGAGGACAAGGGCGAGTTGTTTGAGGAGGAGCCACACCAGGGCGACGCAAATGGAAAGGGACAAGGCAACACTCACAGAGGTGGAAGTGGTTCCACAAATCACGACGGATCTGAAAGCTCGCCGCTTGCAGACACTGATCTCGATACGGCCGCTCATACGCTGAAGCACCTAGCGGGGAATAGCGATTTTCTCACCGTCGATGGTCTCAAGCATGTCCGACAGAGTGCACAAGGAGGGTCGGGAAAAGCGCAGAGCGTAGGAAAGATGGTGAAGCAGTTGGTGCATGCTTGCGTAGCCCTGAGAGACGAGGAGTTGCAGACGGATGCCGCCAAGTAACAGTGATTCTTTTTTTCTCTCTATTCGTTTTTCTCCAAAGATGGGGTGTGACTGCGTGACCGTCACGTGCGCTATATACTTTCGCCGCTTTACAGTAGTGTTTTTGTGGAGGTCAATTCAAATGTTCCAATTACTTTTTCTGATCAATTTCACTATCAAAATGATCATAAAAACCACTTTCGACTGTACAGCCAATTTTTTTTTTTGCGGACAAAAGGATAAGAATTAATCTGTCCGCAAAATAATTTCGAAGAAATGAATTGGAATGTTATTCAGTCAGAAGAATTGTTCAGTCACATGACAATATGACACGTCCTTAACCCACACAAATGGAAGAAGGACAAAAGGGAAGGACAGAAGGACAGAAGGACAGATGGGACAGATGGGACAGATGAGACAGATGGGACAGATGAGATCGACCATCATCTTGTGCAACAACACCAACACGACACCAACATGCCGCCGAAACGCCCCTGCACCTCAGTCAAGAAAGGCTCCAGAAAGAAAAAGGATACACCAGCGCCAACAAGCGGGCCGTATACACCCTTACAACTTCGCCTCAAGGACGACGTAAAAGTCACTTACACCAAAGCTGACCTTGAGTCCTTTCACGACTTGCGCGTCCGGAGATACGACGATCTCTTACATTGTGCCAGGAACCATGCCACCCATTGCTCGCTTCTCATGCCTGACCCTGGTATCTATGCCATCTCAATGGCCAGGACATGCTACACTCTTCGCGTCAAGCTCGAGCTCATAGACATCTTTCACTACCTTCAAAAACGCCTTACACAGCCTTTGGTCAAGGATAAAACCCGAACGAAGACGTCAGTCACCTTCAGGAACTTTGGACACAACATTGGTATTGATATTCCTCGTTCCACAATGTATGGCTTCATCAATAACGAGAGCAAGATTCGAGAGCTGTCCGACCAGCTACCCGTCGATGCCAAGTACGTGTCCAACCGGAAGAACAGGATGGTGGAGGAGGTTCTGTTTTTATGGCTGCAGGATCAACGGTCAAGGCAGATTCCTGTCAACGGAAAGATGATCATGGAGGCCGCCCAGGTGACATATACAGTTCTTGTCGACGAATACGAGAAGGATGATACAAGAGAAGCTGTCGTTCCCTCCTTCTCCGCCTCGTGGTTTAATGCCTTCAAAAAACGATACCACATTTCGTTTAACCAGCAGCATGGGGAAGCAGCAGGTGTTGACTTGGTTGCCATCGAACATGAACTTCGCGACATTCGTGCAGTTTGCGCCAACTACTCACCCGACGATATTTACAACTGCGACGAGACTGGAGTCTATCTCAAGGAACTCGTCACAAGGTCGTATACTGTCCCCGAGGGCACAGGCGGAACCAAGCCCAACAGGAGCGCCCGAGTGTCGATTCTATTTTGTATCAACGCCTCAGGCTCGTCCCTGCTTTTGTCAGAAGACCCGAAGATGTCTGCGCTGAGGCCATTGCTTATTGGTACTACATGATATTCAATCCCCCTTGTTAGTTTTTGGATTGGTTGCTGCTGTTAATGTGCGCGTTGTAAATTAACTATTTCTTTTTTTCTAGCCAAAAACATGGCTCGAGAGGTGGATGAAGAGGCCAAGGACAGGATGGAGATACGGAGGAACGAGTCAGGATGGATGAATCGCCACATTTTTATGAATTGGTTGATTGATCTCGATAGGCAGCTCAAAAAACCCACCCTCCTTCTCATGGACTCCTGTCCTGCGCACAATAAGATCGACAACCCCGATTCTGCCTTCAATTATCGCGACACCTGGAAGTTCCTCACAATCCAACGCCTGCCCAAGAATTCAACCTCTGTCACGCAACCACTCGACGCCGGCATCATCAGCGTCTTCAAACGAGCGCTATTGGATCTTCTCAGTCGGGAAACAAGTCTTGTTAGAACCTACGACAGAGGCAAGGCAATCAGCAACGGTCATGCATGGTCACTTGTTCCGTTCGCATGGAACAAAGTCAAGGCATCAACTGTTCGAAATTGCTTTGCAAAAACTCCTGTTCTCCCGGATGAGATGCGCCTGCAACTACGACAACGACCAACAGCACCTCAGGAACAGCGGGAGAATATTCAGTACTCGCGGCGCAACGATTACGAGGACGAGGCACGCGCGTACTTTGAGCATCTAATTGCCGAGGTGAACGAAGCCAGTGACTGGAAATGGGCGTTCAAACCACAAGGGACAAAGGATGTACAAGACCTTGCCGACGAGTCATTGGCAGCCGAACCTGCAGTGGAGGAGGTGGTTAACGAGCCGGTCCTGTTACCTGTCTCGAGTCCGTCTTCCCCACTGCCATACGATACCGACGAGCGGGCAAGCTCTCCTCTAGCCGAGGACGTCTATGCGAGAGGCATGAAGGTCCTAAAGGAAAGGGCGCCAGCGCTCGGTCTGATGAGCGTTGACGAACTCAAGGCAACAAGACGGCTATTGGGCGGTGGATCGGCGGAGGAGGTCAAGCTCAGCAAGGTGCTGAAGGATGTTTTGCGCTCCTATGGCAAAGCTGAGAATCTGGGAGGACCTGTGGAACGGTCAGTGGTACAGCCAGTCACTCAACCGTTGCATCCAACACTCACGGACAGTGACAACCCTTATCCTAGCCTCACCAACTCGAGCAAAACCCCCTACAGCATCTACGACGGTAGCGACACGGAATATGTGGTGGATGAGAAGCAATATGGTCAAGGAGAAGATGAAGGCACTGAGGAGAGTGACGAAGAGGATGACGAGGAGAAGCAGTGGATGGAGAAAGAATTACTTGAGATACAGTATCGAGAGGATGGGGAGGAGGAGGAGGAGGAAGAAGAGTTGCTGCTGCGTCGTCGTGATCGAGGCGTGATTATTGCACCTTTTGCTGAAGAGGAAGAACACACTGCTGACTACAGCAACTACAGTGGCCACGCTGGCGATGAAAGCAATAGTGACAGTGACTACGACAACAGCAACAACATCGACAACATCGACAACAATAACAACAATAACAACAAGAAATAGTCACCAACGTAGCAATATCATCTTCTTTCTTGACCAGCTTTTGTCCCATCTGTCCTTCTGTCCTTCTGTCCTTCCCTTTTGTCCTTCTTCCATTTGTGTGGGTTAAGGACGTGTCATATTGTCATGTGACTGAACAATTCTTCTGACTGAATAACATTCCAATTCATTTCTTCGAAATTATTTTGCGGACAGATTTCTTATCCTTTTGTCCGCAAAAAAAAAAATTGGCTGTACTAAATTTTCTTGCACTCAGGACACCTTCCTAATTAGGTAGAACTCGTCCCAAAAAGGAAGGAGCGCAGCACATGCGATACGAACAAATACTTTACGCTCCTCGCCAACTTCACACCCCTCTCACCCCTCTCCTCCCTCTCCTCCTTCTCTTCCCTCTCTTCCTCCTCCTTCTATCCTCATAGTGGTTAACACCAACCCTTGCTACTATTATCGCTCATCTCTAAAACATAAAATAAAAGACATTTTCATCACCAGTCTGATTCATACCCAATTACCCTCTTCATCTTACTCTCAGGGTGAGAGGAAGATGAAGATGAAGAAAGGAGCGACTGTGGTTCGTGGGTGTTGAGTATGTCGTAGAGACAGGTGGCGTTCTCAATGGCTTGTTCCAGAGTGGATGGACGTGAAAGTCTTACCTTCTTCGACAGTTCCAGTTCCAAACCTGCAGTGAGCATGTATGAGGCTTGGTCTGGATCGAGTGAAGGAAGAAGTCGAAGTAAGTCGTCGAAAGCAGTGATGTAATCGAGGACTGGTCTGGAACCTTGTCGGAGAGACGAAAGCCGTCGTCGAGCTGCGTTGATAGAATCAGGTGGGGTGTACTGTTTGAGAAACATTGCTTTGAAGTTGATCCATGAGGTGGTGTCCACATGATGTTTAGTGGATCGCCACCATCCTCGCGCCTCTCCCAAGTATCCAACAGCGTAGGGTACCCATTTTTGAGCGGGCAACTCAACGATGGTGAAGTATTCCTCAAGCCCTTCAATTAAGTTCAAGGAGGAGAGTGCATCAACTTTTCCATTGTAACAGGTTGGTTTGAGAGGTTTGTGGGGGATGGGGGCAGGTGTTTCGAGTTGAGCCAATGAAGAGGTTATGGCCGCATTAAGGATTGTGCGGTCAGCATCTCTCATAGCCAAGGTCATAGCGGTGTTCAAAAGAGATTGAGAAAGGTTTGACATAATGAAAATGTGAATAGGAAAACGAAAGGAGTGATTGTAACATGATTGTAGATTGCCTCCTGTTTTTGGCTGCCTTGTTCCTTACTTCCTTGTTAATATCTTGTGTGTCTGTCTTACATACTACCCCTGCTTATTATTACCTCGTCATTATCCCTCACATCATAGACTTATAAATACCCTGTCCCTTTTGTACAATAAACCTCATTCCTTCTTGCCCTTCCCTCTTGTCCCTACACCCTCTTGTCTCTTTCCCTTGCTATTCTCCTTGCCTCTTGTCTTCCTTCCTTGTCCTTACCCTTGCCTCTTCTCTCTTGCTCTGCTCCTATTTCAGTGATACTATGAAAGAAGAAAAAAAAATGGTGGAAAGACAAAGGGTCGGGTGAACAAGTGGTCGAGTGAGGAAGTGATCGAGTGAACAAGTGGTCGAGTGAACAAGTGGTCGAGTGAACAAGTGGTCGAGTGAACAAGTGGTCGAGTGAACAAGTGGTCAAGGGAACTATGAATCAAATGGGCGATGGTTGATGATTGAGAAAAATTCAAGAAAGCATCAGGAGTGTATTTTCGGCCTTTGCTACCAATATTACCAAGGAAAATGTTTGGCGCGAAAACAAGGAAGAGAAGCTGCTGCTAGGCTAAGTAGGAAAAGAAATGAAATAGAGTACTAACACAGGACCCCGAAATCCGGTGATGTTGAGCCTGGCCTCAGGTGGTTGACGAGTGGTCAGGTGCGTCCACTGGGCCAAAGTAGACATTCCAGCTGGATTATCTCCTTCTTCAGCGCATGCTTATCATAGGTACGCCTTGATAACGAAAAGTCAATGAATCGGACTTGGAATCCACCATCACAGCGGCGAACAAGGATATTGTGGGGCCGAATGTCGTTATGGACGATCCCATGCTGGTGAATCAGCGACAAATGGTCGACGATCTTCAAGCGCTCCTCATGGCTCAGCGTGTCTACCTCCATGGGAGATCCCACAATCTCCATCGCGATGACAAATATGCCTCCATCATATCCTGCAGTCTTGATATGGGGAATGCAGACACCTTGAAGGACTTTAAGTGCCTCGTACACGGCCACCTCCGTGAGCATCTCGTCTTCATACTCCGGATTTTTGTACAAATCGCATGTCTTCAACGCCACTTGTTCGTCCCCCCACATTGCGCGAAAAACACGTCCATTTCGACCCTCTCCAAGAACCTCTTGGATCTCAAATTCATGCAGGTATAGCTTCCCAACTGTCACGGTCAGTCCATTTGGAAGCTGTCGGACTATGCTCTGTCCTCGGAAGATCTGCTGAATCTTGCTCTTGCTCCTTGTAATGATACTGGAGTGCCGCTGACCTTGCTTTCCGGCATGCTGCTTTCGTCCCTGGTACCCACCGTCGTTCGAGGCACCGCCACCGCCATTGTCACCGTCGTCGTCATCATCAGGGTCTGGCGGGGGGGACGGTGGAGCAGGCGGAGTGGTATGATCTTGGCCGGCAAACCCAATGAGATACATGTAGCACTGTAGCAATGTTGGGGTGATGTCGTCGTGATAAATCGTGGGCGATATCCATATTCTCCCCGCATCTCTCCTCATAAACCAGGTCTGGTGGTAGGTAGTGAGGACGCCATACCGCAGGTTGTTGTGAGAAAGATAGCCGAATATCTGGTGGACCTGGCGCCACGTGGGGTTTGCTGGTGTTTCATTCCTGGCGACAAGATCCATGTCTTCCCTGTACTTTGCTACGAGATCGTCACAGGCCAAGGCCCTATTCGTCTTGATCTCAATGAGTACTCGTGCATCTCTTGGAGGTTGATAGTAAACGCGGTCCGGCCTTCCCACCACCTCGGCCTCGGGGTGCATTCCAATCCGACCAACGGACAGTAGACGGTTCAGGACTTCATAGACATTGGCATCCAAGGCGGAGCTGACAGACTCTTCATTCGAGAGGAGAAGGTGAGGATTAAAACGGACGTCATCAGGCCTGAATCTCCGACTGGCAGGATGATTAAGAGAAGTTGCCCGCGTTAGAAATTGCGTCCATTCTAAAGCTTCAGTTGGTGTTCGGCTAAATGTAGAGTGCGTAGTAGTCGTCGACTCTGACATGTACGGAGAGTACCGCAGGGCAGGCAGCATCCGTTTCAACACATCGGACATGCTAAGTACTGTGAAAGGAATAAATATGGCCAAATGTGAGAATGGTGAACGTTCATGTCTGTGTTTCGGTGGATGGTAGATGATAGTGAATATTTCGCGAGAGTCACAGCGATTGGATGGGCTGAAGGAACGAGCTGGTCCTGTTCGGGCTAGGCATGCATTGCAGAGCGCTCCTTGTATTAATGGGGCAGAAGTACTATTTGTCATTACTGTCCTGGTTATTGTAACGGGCTAAGAGCGGAGGTCTTACATGGTGCAGCTGCGCTAGTAGATGAGGTATCGGCTGAAAAAGACGGAAAGTTAAGGTTAGAATATTGTACACACACCACACAGGAGCTGGTAGGAGATCAATCAGTATACGTGAGTGCATTACCTTGAGGAGGTCGCTGGACGATGATGTAGGTGTTGTCGTCGGGACTCGCGGCAAACAGCGTGGAGAGGAGTGCTCTAGGGTTGTTCAGCTCCGTCTTGTCGTGAATGGTTCCGTCGTCATGAATGGAGACACGGCTGAGGGAGAGCTTGTTCGCATCAACATCGCGGAAATCGTTGGGTTTCTTGCGTACGATTGCGTCTTTGAGGTCGTCGACGTCATGCGACGATGGGATGTCCCTGATCTTGAAGGCATCCTTCACAGGTTCGCCATCAACAAGACAGTACAGGGTCAGGTTGTCGGTCATGGTTCTGCGAAGTATCAGTGGAAATGGGGTGAAGAAGGCTGGAAGGTGAAGGATATGGAAGTCGAGGGGTGAAAGAAAAAAAAAAGCGAAGGGATGAAAGAGGGTGTGGTGTTAAAAGAGAAGGCGTGGGGTTAAAAGGAAAAGTAAGAAGGGATGAAAAACTATGGCGATAGGTGTGGAAATAGCAATAAGGGCGGTGAGAAACAAACTGACAGTAAAGTCGAACAGAGGAAAAAGGTTGGGAAGAGACAAGATGAGGGAAGAGTGAGGAAAGGAATCGAGTGATGGTAAAGGCGGTGAAAGCGCGTGGTGGAAAGGTAAGGGCGTTGGAAGTGTGGGAATGGTGGCAAAGGCAACAAATGGTGACTTCGGCTGACGTAAGAGAGCAGGGCGCGAGAATTACGTCACCGAAGTGAGTAAATGTCACTTGTTTTCCTTCGCTGCTTTCCTTGCTCTACGTTTTTTTTTTGGGTGAACAGATTTATGTGAAGGAGGGTTATGTGAAGAGAGGTGTGACTGTTTTTCTTTTATGTGAAGTAAACAAAAAACCTTCGTTTATGTGAAGGAAGAGTCTTTTTTTGTGGACGCGCGTGCAACGCACAAGCCATTGTCGCGTTTTTTTATCCATTGCTTGACATTATATCTCTACGCTTTCTCTGCCATTCTCAATACTTCTCTGGCCTCAGTCAAATCTCTGGGAAGGGCTTTGTCAAGGCCTTTTTCGAGGCAAGAATCATCCGTATGAAAGTGGTAAGTAGCGGTAAACTTCATCGACTCATTATCCATTGTTTTCCAAACAATGCGGTGTTCCCCTCGATCAATTTTAATTTTACATCCTCGGCAAGTGGGATAAAATCCGCTTGTGGCAACTGGGTGCAATGAGAACCCAAATGGGTACCAGGCACGGCGTGAGCGTTTCAACTTATGTTCAGATGCAGGCTCAGGACTGGGGTCGCGTCGTTGTAAGCGACTACGTGGAGACGGCGGCGGCAAAAGGGGGGGCGGAAGCGACAAAAGGGGGGACGGAAGCGATGGTGAGGAAAGAGACGGCAGTGGAAAAAGGGGAGGCGATAGCGATGGTGAGGAAGGAGGAGGTGATGGTGAAAAAGGTGTCGGCGATGGTGAAAAGGGACGCGGCATCGATGGACCGGGGTCGGAATATTTTTGTGGGGGAGATCGAGAAGGAGGAGCAGACTGCTTCACATACCACATCTCCGTAATAAAGAAGTTGTCCATCTTCTTAGGAATCTGAAACGGACGGATGAATTCAATCTTTGGTGTTTTCATTCCATCGTAAAACAGATATGAGTTTTGGAGAATGATGATTGATCGGAAATGGTTGACGCTCTTGTAGATGAGGACGCCAAGATGGTATTCTTGAGAGGAGACTTGAAGGGAGGAAACTGGGAAGGGACAGCTTGGATCGTTGTAGCCATTGGGATTGGCTATGATCAAAATACTCGGAAGAGTAAGAACTTCAACGGATACAAATGTCCGCATCCCGCGGCAACAGATCCATGGCTCCTGTATGTTCTTGTCCTCGACGGCGCCTCTCCATAGTCGCTTCCAAAAGCCCTCATCGAGATCGATTGTAACCGAAGCATCCATTTCGACGTCACATGGCTCCGATGTAAAGTCTAGATCCTCGGATTTCTCCAAGCTTGAACGCATGATGGCGGCATGGACTACTGCTTGAGTCACTTGGCCACGCGTGCTGGTGTTAACTTGGGCGAGCCTCTTCCTCTTGACACGGACGGGATTTGGGCAGGTTGGAGAATGGCATTGCGAGGTCTCCCTCTTGACGAGCCTGAACAACCCTGGTAGCTTGTCATGGAACACACGTTGTGTTGAGGTGAACAAACTGTATACGTCGCCATTCTTTGGGAACCTTGACATGTCCAGAACCTCCTTGCACCACAACGAACGAGCCTCATCATACGCCTCTTGTTGGATATACACCATCACTCTCTGAAGGACTATTCCAACATCACTGGCAAGCAATTCGTCCGGCAAAGCAGCGTCTCCATAGCGAGATATCATGTACCACGACATCAAAGTCGTATCCAGGGGACAGGTATTGACGGCTCGAAAGAAGGACCTTTGGACGCCCCAAGGGATTCCAAAGGTCTTACAGTCTATATTGAGTCTCGGTTTTGTATTTGGCATGCCACGCGGACGCCCTACGCGACGGGAGCGTTTGGCTGGGGGGCAGTCCTTGAACAGAGGAAGAGGCGGCAACGTTGGCGATGGAGGAGGCGGCACCAGCTGAGACAGGGGAGATGGAGATTGAAATGGCTGGGACAGGGGGGGTGATGATGGCTGGGACAGGGGTGGTGATGATGGCTGGGACAGGGGTGGTGATGATGGCTGGGACAGGGGTGGTGGTGATGGCTGGGACAGGGGTGGTGGCGATGGCTGGGACAATGCTGGCTGAAGAAGCTGGCCGATAGAATCGGGTTCTTTGGAAAATAACTCTCGGTAAGTCTTGAGGTCTGGAGCATCAGGCGTTGGAGCGCGACCATCGTTGAGATAGTTGCTCGATTTCTTGTTGAGGTAGCTTGGTGTCTTGGGGGTCCGGTAGACGGTTTTTTGACCCCGTTTCTTAAGCTCGTCGCGTTTCTGATACCGACACAGCAGCGAGACTATTCCTTGGATGGACTCGTAAATGTTACCGACGGGGATTAATTTCTTGAACTCAGCCCCAATGCTCTCCTGAGAGTTGGTATCGCGCGCAAGACGAGAGCAGTCGGTCGTGCTCAGGGCGGGAAAGATCAAAGGCCCTCGTTGATCATTAAGGTACCAGTTGAGCCAATTCTTGACCTTGGGAAAATACTCCAGGAGGTTCTCCAGGGTAGTCATAAAAGAGTTTTGATCTTGGGGCTCCAACAGCTTGAGGGTGAGATCCTTGAACCGATCCTTCTTGACTGGTGGAACAAATGAATGACTCTTGACGGCGCGGTTCACTGAGCGCTTGTAATGTACCTCGCAGAATCGATAGATCCCTGAAAGGGATGGGGATTGACCGTCTGGAAAAGTACAATGCTCACGAAGAGCAAGCTCGAAACCGCTTCGTTCTGCGTCGGAGAAGTCGCAGGTTATGCCAGGAAACTCTTCAACGAACTGGGAAAACGGAATGTGGCGCTTGGATATAGAGAGAAAGACGGCAAGGAAATGGTGCTTGTAGTGGTACTTGGACATACCAAAAAGGATGGTGACCACCAATGGTATGGCTCTTTCCAAGGCAGCACAGTAGCCGGAGGTGAAAGAAACATAGATGTCGGCACCGTACTGTGGATCCTTGATCATTCCATGCACCGAATCGCTTTGTAGACAGCTTTGACGCTCAGCAAGAGTCTCTCGCATGAATCGAGTCTGCAAAGTGATGTGACCATCCTTAGCCCTGAAGGAAGATGAGCCAAAAAAACTCAATCCCAAGTGTCTTTTCAAGCCCCAAGAAACTCGCCATGGTTGCGGTCGTCTTTGTCTTGCCTAGGAGTATATGTCGTTCTCTGGCAATCCTGCCAACGTGGTGATAGGCCTCGTGTAGATCCCCTGCCGGTCCCTGCAGTCCATTTCCGATCGTTAACTTGCCCGGGGTTCGCTCTGGCGCTGCGACGACCCGCTGGTCAAAGGCTCGCTTGGAAATAACGTCAGCACGCAATGGTGGCGGTTTCTCATGGTTGTGAATGCCAACGTGATGAACCTCTGCCTTCAAACGTCCGTGGTAGAAAAGGGAGACCATGGAGGCGGTGCAGCGATGCCATACTAGCTCGCACTTGTGAGTAAAACACTTGCTCTTCGGCGGCAAAGGGACGGTGTTTGAGTTCTTCTTGCCATTTTGAGGAATGCGAGGACGATCCGAGTAAGCACAGTGAGGACACCGATAGACCCAAAGCAGAGCCTCCGAGCAATCTTAACTTCCTCAAGCAAGCCCTCCTTTACGAGTTTGTGCGTCCGAATATCGTTTTTGAGCATAACTTTGAACGTCTCGTTATTCGGCTTCATAACACCATCAATCGATTCGACCGCGACCTCGCCATCCATCTCCACGGCTCCACTCCAAGACTGAAGAGTCAAACAAGCCCATCCTGTAGAAATTGCCCGACGCATTTCATCACTGGGAAGCACGTCAATTGTCTCCACGACATCACCGTTTGGGTACTCATAGCATGACTGATGGTCATAAACAGGGGTGAAATGGACCGTTGTTGGAGATTCTGATACATCGCTTGGACTACAATCAAGACTTGTGTGCTCTGGATCAGACGAGCCGCCACTCGAACCATCCATCTCAGGGGCGATAAAACCATTAGAGCAGGAGCGATTCTATTAAATAAAAGCGTAGAAACGCATATATTAAACCTTTGTTATATTCAGCTGACGTCCTGCAATTACAATGAGGTTATGAACATCGTTAGTGCAATTTGTACCTTGGACAAAGTTTTCTTCTCTTCGTCCGAATCGGTCATGCAATCGTCCGTGTCGCCGAAGGTCTGGGACTTCATGAAGGGTGGGGATCGTTCCAATGGAAGCGGTTCAGTATCAGTCTCAATAATACCCCAATCAGGTAAGGCTAAGGTTTGCTCCAAATGCATTGGGTGGCAAGAGGCCATAGGTGACGACAGGGGGCTGGTCGTATACTACGGCGAGAAGAGTTATGGATCGGTGTTAGCTAGAACATACATGCTAACAAGCAACTTGAAGGAGTAGCTAGACCACGCAGACATGTCACTCACCTCAGGCGGTGATAGGTCCTTCTTTTTAGAAGGCGTATGGTTAGTTGCTTCCTCAGCTCTCGCAGGGGGATAGAGCTTGTAATGTAGGCAGCAACGGTTACCGTGTTTTGAATGAAAATGAACATGAGTATCATGTTTAGCAGTTGATTCTATACGTCTTCACAGCGCAAAGCGACTCAATATAGATATAACTAAAAAAACCCAATACCTCTTTCCTCTGAGCTGCCAGTTTCTCCTCAACGCGAGCCGCCAATTCCTCAACGCGAGCCTCCATTTCCTCCTCAACGCGAGCTGCCAATTTCTCCTCAACGCGCTTGTTGACAGTCATCTCCATAGCTCTTAGAAACGTCATCAATACATCGCTGAGAGCATTGACATGGTTCTGTTGTTCCATTGTGTGTGCTTGGCCCAAGGTCGAACGGAAGGAGCACAGAAAGAGATAGATAGGAGAAGGAAGCAAAAGACTCTTCCTTCACATAAACGAAGGTTTTTTGTTTACTTCACATAAAAGAAAAACAGTCACACCTCTCTTCACATAACCTTCCTTCACATAAATCTGTTCACCCGTTTTTTTTCTGTGGGATCCGTGGGCTCCATGGCTGCGGGACTGCAGGACCCACTCAAGGCTAACTTTCCAAGGCGCACCGTCTGGTTGTTCTGGGTGTGCCTGGACCTCGCCTGGGTCCGGCTTTCCAAACGCACCGCCTGGTTGTTCCGGGTGCGTCAGCTTGTCATCTGATTAATTCTTGGCAAGTCAGCCATCAGTGCATGCCGCCTGGTTGTTCCGGGCATGCATAAGGTAGTGCACAGGGTGTTGCTTGACCATGTCTCTTCCACCCCTTGGTGGGGAGTAGGAGAGCCACCCTGGACTGCAGTATCTCTTTGGGCGAGGAGACTACTGTGGACCCTTTTTGCCGACCCGTCCATTTTCCCCTTGCCATTCCCTCCCTCCGGCCATATCTACACCAACTTAGAGTACCGTTTAACAAAAGAGGCGTTTTGAAGACCACGAGTATATGCAAAGCGTAGTTGTAACTAACTACCATGATACTTCTGACATTGCCAAGGGCGCTAGGAAAACATGAGCGAGCTGTTACTTTGTCTATAGCTCATTAAGGCCGAGAATGCCAACGACTTCCGCGACGTCGATGCAAAAGATTCACCCTCTGGGGAGTTTCGATTCACTGATGGATGACGATGACGACGAGATTTCCATCGTGCTCAACACCGTCAGTGAGAAGAAAAAACCTTTCTGATGTGTTCAGGGAGGATGCTCCAAGAAAGACAGTGACCACCAGGTAATTCATCAATGCTCTAGACTTCTTTTTTAATTCGCTCCTCCTCCACTCTGTTGCCCATCTCTGTCCATGTTCCTGATTATCTTTCCCCCGATTCTCGCCCGGGTACTCTATTTTCTGGTACGTAACAAGCTATGTTATTTATGTTATTTAATGACCTTCCCTGATATTCGTCATATTCTAATGCATCCTTTTCGTTGAAACAGGTATTCTCAGAACCGATGTCAAAAAAAATTACAGACAAGTTCTTTCAATCCGGATCGCCACTTGCCATCTTCCTCGACTCATTCGTGAGGGTCCAAGGATCGCTACCTGTCACTGCAGGACCTATTCATGGTCTACTCAGAGCTTCGGACATTTGGAAAACCAGTGGAAGCATGGCCCAGCCAGCCTACTCTTCTGACCTACCGAAATCAACCCACGCAAGCTATGACGTCGTTATAATGCGTTCTTTCTTTCTCGCCCTCTCCTTTTCGCCACCTTCAACGCCTCTTAATCACCTTGCCATCATTCGATTCCTTTTTCTATCACTCCTCCCACATCTCTTTGCTGTGCCACCCTCCCCACTCTTTATGTGTTGTCTTTCCCCCCTTTTTGCACTCTCTCTTCCACTTTGCTTTCCGTTTGTTTCTCACTACCCATCGTTCCAGCGAACAAGCACAAACCGACTGTCCTGAATGAGGTTGAGTCACCAACAGAACTTGACCCAACAGACGATGTTTCCGATGTCTTTCCAAAGACACCACCCAAGAAAACGATCCACGTTATCATCCGGCGCCCTCCTTCAAGTAATGCACACACGCGTGCTTTTTCATTCACACCTTGCACATGTGCACATACTGTGTCCATTGTGCATGCACTAATTTATCCTCTCATCCAATCGCACTGATATAGTCCATGCGCCTGTTCCTGTTCCACTCCATGCTCGCAGCTCCACCCCTCTCTTAGACGACTCTCGCCCCGGCACGCTGCTATCTGGTATGGACCCACTTATGTCTTTTTGTACTTTATCGTTGTTATTCTTTCGAGTGTTAAATGTTCTTACATCGCCCTTTTATCCCGTGCAAATAGGCGACCTCCATAGCGACATCAAAAAGATCACGGACAAGTTCTTTGCACCAGGGTCAGACGTGGCCAAATTTCTCGACGCGTTCATGGGAGGCCAAGGAGCACTGCCCACGGCGACTGGGCCCATTCTAGGTTTATCAAGTGCTCGGCGTCGCGGATTCGGCCATCCACCAGAGACTTTGTCCTTTATTTAGACGCGAAGGTGGATCCTGTTCCAGCTGGTATGGGTAGGTTACAAGGAGTTGCCTGAAACGACAGATCATGTCGGCCATCGACTATGACACTGATCTTTACTTCGCTCGTTGGAATATGCTGAAAATCCAACCATTTCCTCGCCCTACGCCTCTACTCCAATCCCAGGGTATCTTGTGTACGGGAATTCTGACCAGAGCTCTTTCTTTCCGTTGATGGCCTAATCATGAGTACCTTCCGTTGACCCAAGATGGTTGCAGGAGCCAAGGACCTTTGGATATCGATGGAGCTGCGACCTGTACTTCTTAACAGGATGTACATGGAGAGACGAAACTCATCCCCCGAATCCCATCCAAAAATCATATTAGAGCCATCCTCAGTCTCAACATGTATGTTCGTTTAACTCAGTTTAGGAGATCCTAACTGACTGTTGCCTGCATGTTTTGGCTGCAATGCATGACATAGCTACGTATGTATCAGTTAGAGATACTACAAGAAAGGTCAGGAGCTAGTCAGCAAGCCCTTTTCCATGTTGCAGTGTTCTCTGTTAAAGCTAAATTTCGGTTTCACTTTGCTTGACCAATAAATCAATCGTCCACCGAACTATCAACTTTTCTTCTTGCCTTTTCACCAACCTTGCCCCCGCTGCTTTTCCTCTTCATTATTGAACATGAACAACAACGGCCGCGTCCAATGCAAGGACCCACACTGCATCAACACATACAGCACAAGGTGTGACATGCAACGACACTATCTAGCAAACACACTGAAACGAGATTCCCCTGCCGTTTTCCTGGTTGCGAAACACACTTCAGCATGGACAACAACCGCGTCAAACATGAGCGAAAGCATCAGCTGTGCCACTGCCACGGTACAAGGAACAATCCTTGTAACCAGATCATCCAAGGAACACCAAACTGGATAGTTCACCAGAAAATCCACCAACCACATCCTTGCCCGGATCCAGATTGCGACAAAGGTTATACCATGCGGAAGTCACTCCTTAAACACCTGAGGGATACCCACACAAGCAACAACCAGCCTCGGTCCAGCTTTGAACTTCCATCGACGTCGATCCCAACTGTCCCATCACCTGAGCCCATCTATCTACTAATACAAAGCGACTGCACCGATCACCTGATATACGTAAATCATGTGATGATCTTTCTTTCTCTTTTTCAATGTGTGTGTGTGGTGTGTGTTTGGTGTATGTGTGCAAGTGTGCGTTTTTTTAGTTTAAAGTTAATTAAATTAAAAATGAGAGATGGATGAGGGTTGCAATCAGAGCCATACCGGTAAGCAGATCTGCCGGTAAGCATGTTAAAATGCGACTGCGGAATGAGAGCCATGCCGGTAAGAAGATTTGCCGGTAAGCAGTAAGCATGTTAAAATACGAAAATGGATAATGGAGAGAGTAGAGCCGATGGCTTTTCTTTCTCTTTCACGGGCAAGCATATTTTCTTTCCTTTCCTTTCCTTTCCTTTCCTTTCCTTTCCTTTCCTTTCCTTTCCTTTCCTTTCCTTTCCTTTCCTTTCCTTTTCTTCCTCTTTTTTTTTTTTTTTTTTTTTTTATCTGTCAGTAGCCAGTATGACTTCCACTCGCTCTCACCGTGTCACTCTTACCACCACTTCCGCGCCCGATGTCGTTCCTTCTACGACCTTTACAGGATACAGACGTACCAAGGCGACCAACTCAACAAGGTCGATCTACTGCTACCGCGCCCTCTACTTCCTCCACTCTGCACTCCCTTTCCACCAAATGTACCACCACTATCACCACCAAACTCAATGCCATCACCCCTTACTCTTCCTCCTCATTTCTCCTCTTCTTCTTCCTCCTCTTCTTTATTTCCCGCTTTTCTCTCTTTTCCCTCCTCTTTCTCCTCCATCGGTAGGTGTGCCAAGTATCGTGGACGTGGAAACGGCCACCAAAGGTTGACAAGTTGTTACTGTCCCTACTATAAATGAAAACAATCGGTAATTTTAGGGCAAACAGACCACAATTGCTCGGATTGCCGCCTCTTTGCAGCACAACTCCTAATTTATAATGGCGACAACTGCGAAACAAGCTTTGATACTATTTCAGACGAGGATGCTTACGCCGCAATTGCTGACGTGGTTCAATAGTTTGAGACTACAAGTTAGACAACGGTTCAGTGGGAGGGTGAAGGGGGTGAAGATGGGCCATCGATCAGGCGGCGGAGGCATTGGTACCGGGAGAATGCTTCCAGCCTAAGGCCTACCATTCCGGCCCATTTAGGTAACATAAGCGACAACGACGACCTGCTGATGGATTTTTTTGTTTAAATTGAACCTTCCCATAGGAAGGCTCAGTAAGGAGAGAACAGCCCCAGTGGTGCAACAAGCCACCAGGGTTTTTTTATTTCTAAAGACGGTACTTGAGAAAGAAATGTGTAGGGGGCAGCGGCAAGACTCTGAATTTGAGGGAAGACTTTGTGCTGTAGAAGAGGGGGGAGCCCTCAACTCTTTGAGTGTAAGATGAGGAGATCATGCGCCAAGCCAAACGCTCTCCTAGGACTCGAACCCAGGACCTCAAAATTGCGTGGAGGACGCTTTACTACTACGCCAAACGGGATCCCAAGCCCTCGCCTGCTGAAGGAGAACAGCCGGCTGACACAGGTTGTCCCAGTCACGCATGATTGTAGCAGCCACGCATGGTTCCAGCCCGGCGCCAACCATTCCGACCCATTTAGGTAACATGAGCGAGCTATTGCCATCGCATTGCATGGTGCTCCTCAGTCCTCTGCTATGATATGTAATGCTTGCAGAGAACTCCATCACCATTGTTTACAACTCATCCGGATTGCCTTATGAGCAGACAGCGCATGATCGTTGCAGAATCTCTTGCTCCTACTCCTTCCACGATCCTTGCTGCTTCCGTTGCTCCTGTTGCTCCTGCTGATCTAAGTGTTTTTGGAAATAGAATAGCTGTTAAGAATCAGGACAACACAGTGTACATGATCATGGGATCGATGAGCGTGGTATGCTCTCATTGTGTGCTTTACATTGGATAGAGGTAACCGTCTACGATATTACCTACAACTATTCTACATCCTCCTTTATTTTTATTGATACCCGATTTAATCACTTCTTTTGAAAACGCAGGAGTGTGTTGGACGTACAATCGCCAATCTACGTTTCTCTGCTGTCTAAGAGTCAAAACGCCGGTCATTAAGCTTCCCTTGATGAATTACAAAGCCTTTCAGAGGTGGTACCTTTTTCTCCGGGCTATTTCTTGCAACCATCCGGACCTTCAACAATGCCATTGCCTTTACGTCCTTTGGTACCAGCTCAAAGAACCGTGAAATGCATTGACAGAGGGAAGCAAAAAGAAAAAAGGTATTGCAAGTGCGATAGAAGACTTTGAAAGGACGGAGATATGGCACGTACGTTGCAAGGGCGACGGTCGAATAGGGGAAGACCCAAGAAATAACAGCTCGAGAAGAAGGCGGGTTTGAGCAAGGGAGGGAAACCGACAGGGACAGGATTTGGCCCGCCAAGGCAACGAGTCGATTTGTCAAACAAAGTCTGAGTGACGCGGACGAGAAGGTTGTACAACATTTACATGGTAAGATGGTATTGCATTTAAAGGAAAGAAAGGAGACTGCTGTATAATATCTTTGACCCGAGATCTCGACTCATCACACCTGATAGGTCGCGTTGGGGATGCGGGGGGCTGGCTCGGTGTTCGCCACTTCATGGCATTCATACGACCCAAGTTGTGTAACTATAGGCATTCGGGCTCCCAGGGGTCCCGTCTCACACCTCCTTCCCGTGGCCATGGCTTGGATCAGTCAGGCCTGGCACGCCGTCACGAGTTGTGGAAATATGACGTCAAAAAATAAGGAAGGGAGGGCAAAACGAAAAAAAAAGTGAAGGCAGAAAAAAAAATCAAATAGAAAAGCGAGAGAGAAATGAGGAACTGACAATCATAAATAAACTTTGCAATAATCAACCACCACCACTTTTTTGTCAATTTACACTTGCCCCACACCTCCGCGAGCGAAGCCGCGGGTACCATTCTAGTCTACTAATACAAAATCGTTATCTCCATCACCTGACTTATCGTAAATCATGTGATGTTCCCTCTTTCTCTTTCTCACGGTGTTGTGGTGTGTGTGGTGTTGTGGTGTGTGTATGGTATGTATGGTGTATGTGTAGTGTGTGTGTAAGTGTTTGTGTGTGTTGTGTGTGTTGTGTGTGCTGTGTGCGTTTTTTTTAGTTTAAAGTTAATTAAATTAAAAATGAGAGATGGATGAGGGTTGCAATCAGAGCCATACCGGTAAGCAGATCTGCCGGTAACCATGTTAAAATGCGACTGCGGAATGAGAGCCACGCCGGTAAGAAGATCTGCCGGTAAGCAGTAAGCATGTTAAGATGCGAAAATGGAGAATGGAGAGAGTAGAGCCGATGGCTTTTCTTTCTCTTTCACGGACAAGCATATTTTCTTTCCTTCCTTTCTCTTTTTTTTTTTTTTTTTTATCTGTCAGTAGCCAGCATGCCTTCCACTCGCTCTCACCGTGTCACTCTTACTACCACTTCCACCCCTGATGTCTCTCCTTCTGCGACCTTTACAGGATACAGACGGGCCAAGGCGACCAACTTAACAAGGTCGCCCTACTGCTAGCGCTCCCTCTACTTCCTCCACTCTCTACTTCCTTTCCACCAAATGTACCACCACTATCACCGCCAAACTCAATGCCATCACCCCTTACTCTTCCTCCTCATTCCTCCTCTTCTTCCTCCTCTTCTTCTTCCTCCTCTTCTTCTTTTCCCTCTTTCCCCCCTTTTACCTCCTCTTCCTCCTCCATCAGTAGGTGTGCCAAGCATCGTGGACGTGGGAACGGCCAACAAAGGTCGACAAGTTGTTACTGTCCCTACTATAAAGGAAAACAAACGGTATTTTAGGGTAAACAGACCACAATTGCTCAGATTGCCGCCTCTTTACAGCACAACTCCTAACTTATAATGGTAACAACTGC